CTATCACGCAGAAAGGGAATGCTTGAATATGTTTTTATTCTAGGTATACGTCAGGGATATATGTAAGAGAGGGAGATGGAGATAGAGGGTAAGAGAGAGGAGCATATAGTGGCCCGTAGGAAAACAAACTACACAAATTTCTCAGTGCCCGATGGCTGCCGGATCTTTTCTCGGATCACTAGTTCATAATATGATAACTCTTTGTACACTGTAGTTTCTCCTCAATTTTAGTGTGTGAATGATCTCTATAGTTATCAATGGCCCCATCTGAATAAAAATATATAAAAGATGTGTGTTAGTTTCATGAAACTGGATCTCAGAATCACTTCTTCTATAGGGCACTGCTAAGTGTAGGCTTTGCAAAAGGACCCTACTTTGGGGAAGTTGTTTCTTCTTTCTCAATAAAATAATGCAACATACTTTTAATAGAAATGAACGCCGGAATAGAGTATGACATAACAGGTTACCCAAGTTAAAAAAAAAAAAAAATCGAAGGTGGTGTTTTTTTTTATTTGCATCGGAATTTTTCGTTGTTTGATTTTTTTCGCATGTTTGCCTAAATATATCCTGACTATCGTATCACTCAGATACCTTATTTATTTTTAAATAATAGCCATATATAAGTAGATACTATCTGCGAATTATATATATTAATGATAAATTATTTCATGAGATAGAAGCCTCCAAATTTTGCCACTTGTCGTTCGAGCAGGCATGTTTGGCAATTTTTAGAAAAATTAATAAAATTTGAATAAATATGATTACTTTATATTACAAGCAAGCTGTACCCATAGCTTGTCCCTAAAAAGTATTAGAACTCTCCTAATGTTATTGTTTTAGTTATTCACTCGCAAACGTGCCCCCTCCATCAGGGCACCTTAATGCAACTGTGTACCTCCTCATGCCTTACGATTTTTCCTGTCCCCAAATATTTTCTTTTTCTGGTCAAAACTAAGTGTGGATTCGTTTATACCAGACACTAGACAATAGCATATAGACGCTTTACACACGCGCCAAATTACAGCCGCCATTGTTGACCTTCTCTTGTCTTACCGAGGTGCCGAGCAACTGAAACGGTCGTCGACGATCCTCTACAAAGGCCGATGCTTTAGAAAAGGACACAGTTGAATCTAATATGGCAATAACCTGGCCTGCTATTGTAATGATGAAGTGAAATAAACGAAATAAGAGGAAGCAAAAACTGAAGGTCAGTTATGGCGGCGTCCATGCGCAGCTGCTGCAAAGCGTCTATAAAAACATCAGTTGATTTAAAAATGTCGACCAGCCACCCTTTGGTCGATCTTATTTGAAATCAGCCAGGTGACACTGTAGTCTTCTGACACCATACTGGATCGCCTGGCAAAAAATGAAAGACGTTTACAGATCTCTGTAATGCCGAATTAGAGCGCAGTTTTTGCGGAGGAGGAGGTGAGGCCGCTCCTCCTTACCTCCCATTTAGCGTGAAATTTTCCGCTAAATTTATTGGGGAAATTTTCCCAGAATGCAATGCGCGGTTACGCCTGGTTGCATTATTCCCAAAATGCAACGCGTGCGGTTACGCCGATGCCGACAGCGACACCGCTCAAGCCGAAAACGGGCGCCTAAAAGCTGCGCTCTGAAGTCAAAACATTTTTATTTTTGTGTCAGTGTTTGTTTAAACGTGCTGCGTGGCAGTGAAAGGCTCGAAGAATGTATTCGATATGCGATTCGAAAATATATGGCCTAATCCACTCTTTGCACATGCCTAAAAAAACGTGGTTCTTTTTTGGTACAAATAGACCGATCTCAGCAAGCATTCGGCACATGCATTATGCCGTCATAACTTGAGCCTCCTCTATACTCACAAAGCCTGGCGGTTCGACGACGGAGCCGTAGAGTGCCCGGTCGCAGATTCGGAGCGCCAGGATCTGGTAGCACAGAGCATTTCTCGGGGCACCTAGACGTCAGCGCACAGCTTTTGCAGCGGCGAGGACCCAAAACATGGTTTTCAAACCCGACGAGAAAAAAAAGCGGCAGCGCGAGGAACGCCAGGAGCACGAGCGGACATTGCGTCGCTCGGAAGAAGTGTGTTTCGGCGTCTCGCCGCAGCGGGGCGCCCGTCACGTGGCTCTCCTCTCATCCGTTGTCTGCCGCTCTACCCTTTCAATTTCGGCTGCCGCTTCTCGTGGCGATCTGCCAGGCTTTGTCAGTATAGAGGAGGCTGTGCTTTAGTCCACAAGAGGCAGGCGGAGCACACTTGCCCATATCTCCACGCGCGAAGCCGCAGGGAGGTTGGCGCATATACAGAAAGAGTAAAGTTGCCTCGATGCTTGGTGACGGCGGCGGCGTAGCTGACCTCAGATTGAGTTACTCCTATGATCGGTCTTTTAATACGAAAGCATTACCTGTCCTATGGAGCGAGCCGACGCCATCAGCCGCACCAAACGGCAGATAAATTCCTGAAGCCGCGGTCTGAGGCATCCCAGCTTTGGAACCACGCAGAAAGCCACGCATAACGGCAGTGATGAAGCCGCCGCGCGTCAGTTTCCATTAGCGCCTCCCCATGGCGCTGCGTGTCCGCGATGCAGCGGCTCCACCGCTCCTCGCCCAAGGTCAGCGTGGCGAGGAGCGCGCGCGCTCGACCGTCGACGCAAGTATACGCCGTAGACGAAGTAAAGGAGCGAAAGAACGGCGTGCATGCTTTTGCATTCACAGCTCATAAGAAGTGTTTAGGTGTACTTCGAGCCTATTTTGTCACCAGCTGTATTGGTGCCAGAGAAGAATGTGCTTGCTACAGTTAATGCCGAATCACTCTTCAAATGATTTTAGTGCCGATATGCTACATCAGTGGCTCTCCACCATTGATGTTTCCGGACCCCTTGTGGATCGGCGGAGATGATAGAGGACCCCGTTCGTGGTGAGGGGAAGGGAAACGTATCGGTTAATTATGGTAATGATTTAATAAATGAATATTATACCTAAGGGTATATTATACCTAGTGTGAAGTAGACCTCTCTCATTGACATACACACGAGAAAACTCGCCCGAATATCAAAACGTTTCTTTAAAAAAAAAATCATAATAAAAAAAACATATCTGGCTGGATTGATGAGGCAGGGCTTCGCGGTCCCCAAATGCCTTTGCGAACCCCAAGGGGTCCGCGGACCTGCATTTGAGAACCACTGTGCTATATTCGTAAAGTTCAGTGCTTAATTTTTTTTCTTCGTATTCGAGTATTGTTTTGTCGATACGAGCATGTGATCTTCAATCTCGAAGAAACATGCAGGCCGTAGCGGGTTCCTGCGTGCTTACCGCTCCACAGAACCCGAGTTTGCCATGCCATGCGCGCGATATCAGTTGCTGTGTTATGCGGGTTCGATTCCCGCCTATCTAAGGCGAGGCCTGTTCGTTACGTCATCGCTAGTGGATCCCCGCCCCAAGCGGCAAACACGCTGAAGCTCGGCGAGAGCGAAGCGGCACATGCGTGTGCCTTTGCGTCGCCTCCTGCTGGCGTCCCGCTTGTTGCCAGACGCTGCAAGACGGCTGGTGGCGGCGCTGACTGCTCAGGCAAAAAGTTCGGCTAATCGCGAGACATGACTCATCTCTCCTTCGGGCGTTGAATTATGATATATGTGGGTGCACCTTAGATTGGCTGTATGTAACCTTATCAAGACGCACACGTTTGAAACGTTAAAAGCGTCGTTCCTTCCTTCAACAACCAAATTTTGTAAGAACTACTTCGCGCAGCGCACGAATAATGCGCAAAATCTATTTTTTTTTTGTTGATGCGAGGACGAGTACAGGCGATATTGTTGTATCGCACCGTGGAACGCCGATCTGCTGCACCCGCGATCTGCCTCCGTGAGACGGGAGTTTGTAGTCAATTAAAGGGGAACTCCGGCGATATTTTGAGCAACCCCAACTAACCATATATTCGAAATCGCCGTCCGTTACTCTTTTCGGTATGCTATTTAGTATCGCGAAATTCAGAATAGTTTTTGTGAAATCGGCAAATGAAAACGACGCCAAAACGAAGATTCGAATATACCCGCGCTTTTCATTGCCCTGACGTCACGGTTGGGCTGGATTGCAGTTCGAGCAGGCAGTCTAAATATTAACTATGCCGAGCATTTGTATCGTGCTGCTGCGCGGGGGCTGGAGCGACCTTCCAAAGCATTCATTTGACACCATGAAACTGTTTGTAATCAGATGTGAACAAAGTCTACAGCCCAAAGAGTGAACTCCTACCCAACCATGACGTCACTTTTTCAATGTTGCCCGTAGAGCTTTTCACTTTGAAAAACACGATGAGGTCCAAAATTGTAAATTCTGTAACTGCACGAAAAAACGTTATTTTGTCCAAATATTTGGGTTACTAGTTCAGCGATGTTTGTTGGTGTGTCTAGCAAGCTTTTAGGCAAATCGGGGACTACGAAGAAAACGGCGGAGTACCCCTTTAAGCGTGTTGAACGCACTGTGGAACGCGCATTTGCCCTGTCCGCGATCTGCGGTATCAAGTCTCTCGTCATGCTGGTATATTCATAGCCAATGCCTCCCCCCCCCCCCCCCCCCCGCCTTCAATTAGTAAGCACTTTAGTTTGTCTAGAATGCGAGGTGGAAATCTGTTTTTACGAACGTTTACTCGTACAACCGAAGTCTTGTTCAGCTCCATTTTCGCCCCCTTCCTATGGACCTGCCTTTCTACAGACACTTTGGCCCTTTAAGGCCGGGGCGTTTGCCGAAGACTGGTGAGACTGTTCGCTCGCACGTGTTAAAAAAAAAAAAAAATGAAATGAAAGCTCTGCAGTTGAAATGAAGTCTAGAACCACTGCCGTCGCGGTGGTGCAATTTAATGACACCCTAATCTCGAGCCCGTGTGAATGCTTGGAGAGCGTTCGTGCGTGTGCTAAAGGTTTAAAGTTCCTGCTTACGTGATACTTAATGACGAGGCTCCGGGGACAAGATGGAAGCTAAACGAGATCGTTGAGGCTTGACGACTATGCGCGTTTGTGTCCATGCAGGCCATGGACCTGCAGAACAAACTCAAGGAGATCCTGGGCAAGCTGCCGGGGACTCTAGCAACGTGCGGCGGTTCCCAAGGCAAGCTGGATGCCGTCAGTCAGGACCTCGCCTCCGCCCCGGTTTACGAGGTCAACTTTCCCGAACTGTTTGTCTTCTGAGACGCTTTTTCTTGGTTGTACAATAAATAAGCTTATTCCGTGTTGAAGCACTGTCCGAGCCACACTTTTTTCGGGCACAGTGTCGTGCATAGGACCCGTCCTGCCTCTTAGAGGAAGAGTCCCGCAATCGTAGATGCGGGACAACGGTTCTTTTGTAGGAACAGCACCACTCACTGGGGGAGCCGCCACGTGTCGAGGTCGAAGGCCATCTCTTTCTGGTACGTGTGTGTGCGGCCTTGTGGGGATTTCTGGCGGAGCTTGACGTTGACGAGGAGCCGGCGCACACCGGCGGGCACGTCCCTGACCATGAAGTTGGCCGTGTACGGCTCTGCTCTAGACTCGGCCGCCGACTCGAAGCCCAGGCTGGCGGTTGAAGGCTGTGACTGCAGTCGCGATTTGGCGCTACCCTTCAGCCCCACCTCACCTGCGATACTGCGGAGCGTGTGGCCTTTTTCCCTCGCCACCCTGTCACGAATACGGCGCGCCAGCCGGGACGCCAAGACCCTTGTCCAGACAATGAACCGTATACGATCGGACAATGGCCTCGCTGACTCTATGGGGGTTACCACGATCTCGTCCGCAAACTGAGAATCGTCGAAACTGGGGAGCCTTTCGTACATCGGTGCCGACTTGCTCGGACGCAGCTTGATGCCTTGGGATGCCCGGGTAGGCTCGTAAGCCATCAGGGCGGCCAATCCGAGCAGGAGCAGAGCGCCGAACAAGAGCATTTCTGCCTGGGTGTCCCTGTCTCCCATTGCAGGCCCCTGGAGCGTCGAGTTGTCACCAGGCTCTGCGAAGTCTGTCGGGACAGCTCTGGGCAGCCTGAGTGACCTCCAGCCTCTGTGGTCGATCTCAAACGACTCATCTTGCAACATTTCCACTGCCGGCTGACGTGTCGACGTACTTCTTTTTAACTTTCCCGCGACGGCCGCCAGGAATTCCTGCAGCCTGCCTCTCGACTCGTTAACTGGCGTTCCACTTATGCGGGTTGTATGTTTGGCTGACCTCAGCGTGCTATGCGTTCTAAATACTACGTTAATTGTGGTCAGACCTACCGTGGGCACAACGCTGGCGTTAAGTCCGGCTCTGACGTTAGGCACGACGCTGGCGTTGGGCACAGTGCTGACCTTGCGTGCTACGCTGACGTTAGGCACAATGCTGACGTGAAGCGCGACGCTGACGGTAGCAACGCTGACGATCGGCACGACACTCACGATAGCCACACCACTGACGTTGGGCGCACCGCTGACGCTAGGCACAACGCTGGCGTTAGGCCGCACGGCCTCCTGTTGGCGACTGCCGCCGTTGGCCCCTACGAGGACCCTGCTGCTTACGTTGGTGACCTGGGCTTTAGACACGACAAAAGTCTGGGACACGACCACGCGACCGTTACCCGGCTTAGCAGCGACCCAGGAGACCAGAAGCGGGGCCATGATAGGAGCCATGGTTCGTACGAGAACCATTTCCTCTGGTGCATCCTTCTGGGCCAATGATGTTCGTCTGCGAGAGCATGCCACCGTCTCGCCTTACGTGGGCAGCAGCGACACGATGGTTAGTAGCGCGAGCTTCTTTGTTCAGAAAGCGCCTTAAAGGGGTCATGAAACGATTTTCCTACTTCTTCCTCCTTAGCTTTAATCCTCAACTCAAATGCGAATTGTGAAATCATGTGGTCGTGACATTCCTTCGGCACCGGTGCGATGACTCCTAGCTTCCACCGTGCTTTTTATGGACACCATAGAACTTGTCATTCCCTAGTGACAATAAGTTCCGTTAGGGCACTCATTGGCCACGAACGCGAATCCAAATATTCGTCGACGGATTGATTGTTGACGAGCGCATACGTCCGAGTGACGCAGTTCTCGTGTCCAATCCGTGAGCTGGGCTCTGCTGACGTCAGTTTGGCGCCGGTGACGCGCTTTTGGAACCGCGGATGTATCATAGTGAAAAGGCGGAGAGCTTTCGAAGGCAAGAACGTACAAAATAGTCCGCTATATTTTCAAATGTTCGTACCGAAAAGCTGGCTTTTGACTTTCTAGCATCTTTCTTTTGGCCAACTAAACGATATACGATTAGTAAAGTCCCAATTTAAAATCATTCATCTCAATCCAAAATTTGTTTCATGGCCCCTTTAACTATGAAAATGCACGTGTAGCGGGAATGCTTTATAAATCAGCGCGCACTTAATTTGTCCTAATTGTTGCACGTTCATTTCGTTTGCTAATTTAAACTTCAGATGATACTGAATTTGTTAGATAAGGAGGTGTCTAGGACGACAAAAAAAGCTTTGAATATAAAAGGGGTGGGCAGAGATCCTACAGGTTTTCCCGCTCATTTTAATCAAAATAGTGGTTAATTTAATCCAAGTGCTATTCAATTTAGTTCGAGCGCCATTCAATTTACTCCCAACGCTACTAATTTAATCCCGGTATCAGTCAATTTAGTCCACAATAAACAGGTTTTCTTTTTTTTTTTTTTGCTGCACCAAATTTTAAAGAAAAAAGAAAAAAAGGGATCGCGAGATAGAGTAATTTGAGCCCTGGGGAAGTGTTAATGGCCATGGCGGCCTCTAGAAAAAAGGTGAAATTAGGTAATTAGTTAACTTACTTTTTAATTTTTCACTTTAGGGAGCATAATGTAATTAGAGAATTGAAGCTCGACTTCAATGTCGTCTAGCCCTGCATCAAAGTTTGATTAAAAAAATCGTTCAGCCTTTCCACTCTCGTGAAGAAGGAAGACCAGCGGAGCTGTACTCGATACACTGTGTGCTTCTTCTTTGTCGTCGCTTGTTTTTCGCGCTGTTTCCTACGATGAATTCCCACCAACGCGCCCGACTATCCATTCTTCTATTATAGCTGGAAAGGTTGCCGCCATCTACGAGCGACGGCGGAAACCATACTGGTTGTGTGCTTGCCGCCGTCGCTTAAAGATGGCGGTAGCTGTCCAGGTAGGTTTGTGTCGACATACACGGACACGATCCTGGGGAACCTAGCCCTTAAAGGGGTACTCCACCGATTTCTTGAGCTACCTCAACTAACTATATTTTCTGACTCCCCGGCCTTTAGCCTTTCCGGTATGCTATTTAGCATCGCGAAATTCATAATAGGTATTGTGAAATCGGCAAATGAAAATAGTGCAAAAACCAATATTCAAATATTCGCGCACTTTTCAGTGCCGTGACGTCAGTGGCAGGCAGGCTTGCCAGTCTAGCAAGTAGTCTAAAAATAGAATATGCCAATCATTTGTTCCGTGCTGGAGCGCGGATACGGGAGCGAGCTTCCAAAGCACTCATTTGACACCAAGAAACTCCTTCAAATCCGTTGGGAACAACTTCTGTAGTCAAAAAAGTTAACCCCTGCCTTCCACTGACGTCACTTTGTTGTTGTTGCCAGTAGAGACTTTCAGTTTGAAAAACATGGTGAAGACCAAAACTGTAAATTCAATAACTTCGCGAAAAAACAATATTTTGACCTAATATTTGGGATACTATTTTAGCAATGTTTGTTGGCTAGTTTAGCGAAATTTCAAGCAAATCGGAGACAATGAAAAAAACGGTGGAGTACCCCTTTAACAGCTCCGCTGTAAAAATTTGTAATAGGTGCTACGGGGTCAAGAAATGTCACTTTGGTACACGGCGTCAAACCGAAACTAAGCGAGAAAGAGCGCCGGTAAAGTTATCGCCCCGCCCTTCCGGCCCCTGTGGATTGTCGTTATCGCAGTCAGCTTCGCCTAAGCAAGTGGAGCCGGCCGCGATAATGACGAATCACATGCCCAGAAGAGCGGACCGATAACTTTACCGGCACTCTTTCCTGTTTAGTTTCGGTTTGATGCCATTTGCCAAAGTGATATATCTCGACCCCGTAGCGCCTACTAGGAATTTTTTTAATGCAAATTTGACGACACGGCTAGACCATATTGTGGTCGATCTTCAACCCTCTAAACACATTTTGTGCCCTCAGGTGAAAAATTAAAAAAAAAGTTGGTATAAAACATTTTTGTTAATTATCTAACTAATTACCTAATTTCACCTTTTTTTTCTAAAGGCGGCCATGACCATTAAAACTTCCCCAGGGCTCAAATTACACTATCTCGCGTTCCCACTTTTTGAAAATTTGGTGCAGCTAAGAAAAAAAAAAAAAAAAAACACCCTGTATACATGCGCGTTTTGTATTCCATGGTCCTGTTTAGCTTACACTTTTGATATCTTAGAGTAATTTTTATACAAATTGATTTTGTTGGGGACTACTGATATGTTAACTACTTCGGTCACTTGGAGTTAGTAGTCGCACGATTGACATGTTGATTACTCTTTTCATAGGCGTAGACTACGGGGGGGGGGGGGGGGGGGGGGCATCGGGGCTCGTGCCCCCCTGGCGAGATCCGGGGGGCGGTGGGGACAGAGCCCCCCCCCCCCCCCCCCCCCCCCCCCCCCCCCTTTTTCTTCCGGGCCTGGGTCATGATCCTTACCGAGACGCTGTATGCGTGCCATGAACGAGTTTCTAGTAGTGGCATGTAAACAAAATAATGCCCACGTTGCCTTTATTGACAAAATACACGGGAAATGGAATCCCAGCGTACTTCCGGGGAAAAGCAGGAGGGGGGTGCTCTTCCGCCTGCGCGGAAAAGCAAACCCCCCTTCCCCCCCCCCCCCCCCCCCCCCTTTTTGGAGAACTTCTCAGCTTGCCCACCCTGGGAAAATGGAAAGTCTATGCCGCTGACTCTTTTGGTAACCTCGAGTTATTAAGTACGCACTCCACATTGACGTTTTGTTTACTCTCATTACTTCGACATAATACAGTTTAGATGATATGAGTACAATTGTAATTTGAGACTACTCTTTCTATTACTTGTCGCTGTTATTGACACCGCTGACTTAAAATGGCTTCCATTTGTAATTACTTTGACCTGGTAATAACAATTTAAATAATAATAATAATAATAATCTTTATTTTATGTGCCCCAAAACGACCCGGAGGTCTTCACTTTGGAGCACAAGTCAATGCTAAAATCGAACAGAAACAAAGTAACAGAATAAAAGCAAAGTAAAGCACAGGTCAAAGTTCTGTTGGAAGCACTTCCAATCAGTGTTGCGGAAGTGGCACCCCCATTCAATTCCTATTCCATTCCGAGGAATTTGAGCTTCCGGTAATTCCATTCCTTTCAACTCCTAAGAATGGGGATTGGGCCGATTCCCACTCCTGGAATGGCTGAATCGTTTCATTCCATTTTTCCAATTCATAAACGTAAAACTGGCACTTGGCAGCTACGTTGTGTTGCCGGCATAGGCATCATAAAGCTGGCATTATCAAACGCATAGACAATTGCAAAAAATGCCAAATGCCTCCAAAAAAATACAGATTTTACTAAGCGGAGCGCTGGTAGCACAAAGTTTGTTTACATCCTACTGCAAACTTCGAGAAAGCCCCTTGATTGTCGATGCTTGTTTAAAACATCGGTCTCGCGACCACGTGGATCGCAACTAACAGCAAAACCTAAATCCACTCATTTTCTTTTCTTTTTTTGCAAACTTTTTTTGCGCTTGATTTTTAGGACATACGCGTCCAGCGTGTTTGTTTGATAAGACCATAGAAATGTCCAGTTTGTGCGTGGCGCAGAAATAAGCTATATTACTGTATTCTTCAAATACCTGCACAGCAACACGGCTAGTACGCTGCTGGAAGCGACGCCATGCACAGCGGCAAGAACACGTCCTCTGACAAAGTGCAACCTCTACAGCGCAGCACGAGGGGACCATCTAGAGTTTCTAGACCATGTCACGAAACCCGTTTTAAAACGCATAAGTTCACGCTTGCTTTGCAAATCTTCATATTTCTTATCACATTCAATTCTTTATGTGTTTTCCAGGCGATCAATAAACCGTCTGCTGGGCTCAAATATACGTTTGTTTATTGTGGTTGGTTGTTTGCGTTGTGGCGACGGGCCGCGCCGTCGGCGTCGACAAAGCTAGCTTCAGACCAAGGTACAAATAACGGGGTAATACTGCACCGTTCGAATGGACATCCCCCTTCTCTCCTCAGCACCACCGTCCAACTGACTTCTTACCGCCTCAAACAGGGTCCAGAATCAAGGAGCACGATTGCAGACCAGAGAGCCGAGACGCGCGGAAGCCAAAACCTCAGTAGCAGCTAGCACCCAGCTCTCCTTCTCAGTGGTCCTCACAGCAACGGTCGCGCCTCGTCTTGCGCGGGACGGTCTTTCTGCATGTCTAATCAGTTCGGTCTCGCGACAAGGGTGCTGACGATAGTCTACTTCACCTTATGATGGTCCGCAACAGACAGCACGAGAGCCATCGAAGCCAATCCAGTGCCTTCCAGGGCGCCTCTTTCGGAGGTCGATACGGGGCAGAGCTAGGGGACAGAGTAGTAGTTTGACGTCTGTGACGTCATGTCCGGTTTTCGTCAAAATAGAGCTATTTGTACCTATTTTGTTAGTGTTACCTTGACCTTCAGTCACCCCTCCATTTCGCGCACTCCTCCGGAGGGGTCCTTATCACGAGGGCGAATGACGTTTTAGCGAACAGCGACATTTGAGCGAATCGACGTTTTAGCGAATAACGGGGGCGCGCTCCATCCGCCGCACTGCGCTTTACGCCGCTTCGCGGCGACAGTCTGCGGCGGCTCATTGCAAAAATGTGAACCCACTTGGCCCACCCGAAAACGCCGCTTAGCGGCCTCCGACTATTCGCTAAAGTGTCGTTCGGTGAAACGTGGGCGTTCGCTAAAACGTCATTCGATCAAGTGAGTGCCTCCCCCTCCGGAGTATGCTCCCAGCTCGCTCGCTCCTCCGAAGTCAACACAACTGTCATAGTTGCATGTAAAAGACGGCCCGTGCCATCGTTTGCAAAGCGACAGAAATAAATCGCCGCGGCGTTTTTCGCGGCCTCGGAGATGCAGGAGCGAGCCGACGTTAAAAAAGATACGTTTCAACTACGAGAGCAACGAGAGTGTCAGCAAGAGCCACGTAAATACCCGTTTGATCGAACTGCTTCGGGACCGATCATTTACGAGTATATTACTCGATACTGACGTGACACTCGGCAAAGAAAGGTGGGACCGGCATTGCGTAGCTCCCACGAACTGTTATAGTGATCAACAGTGACGTGCAGTCATGTCAGAATACAAATGGCAAACTAATAACGAAGTGTACATACCGTGTTGCGAAGGTAATCCATACGGCATTTATTCGAGCTCCATATCACACTAAAACAGGGAGATAGAATCTACGAGAGTCCCTTTTCGACGACAGCGTTCACCACCGCTGCCTCAGAAAACAAGGAGATGACAAGAAAAAGAGATTGACCTCTTAATCTAAAATTGAGGTCAGCGATCAAACTATAATACGGGAAGGGTCCACAAAAGTCGTGCGGGCGCGTATTCCTTTCAGCAAGCGAGCCGGTCGTGGGCAGACGGTCTTGGCCAAGGACCGTCGGAGCAACGCTGCGCCGAGTCGGAGTGCCCGCAAGGCCTAAATTTTTTCGAGCTCGCTCGGTCGGTATCAACGTTGCCGTTGCGCCTTTTCCCGGGTGTTTGTGGATCCAGCGTTTGTGTTCGTCGTGGCCTGTTTCGAGTACGTCCTTCTTTTTCTTGCTGCTTCTAATCGGGACCCGTGAGAAGTATTTCGTCGCGACCAAGTAACTGAGCGACGTTGTCGGTCATGTTGCTTTCATCGTGGAATGACGGCTCCGGAGCTGTTCCGATGCGTACATGTCTGCAGCGTAAGATCGTTTCGTGAATCTCGCCTCTGTTCTTTAGCGCATCTCCCCCCAACACTGGACGCAGCAACCCGCAACAAACTCTCCGGAAAACGCAAAAAAAGAGATGCTTATATATTTTTGCTTGTTTTTACGTTTCCGGCAGTGACGTCATAGACGTCACTGCCCAGTATCGGCCTCTGAAAAAGGCGTCCCATGTCTTTCGAGTGTCGCGTGACGGTGTGACCCTTGGGCGCATGCAACGCGCCGCGCCTGTAGTCCCGCTCACGCACTCACGGTGCTGGATTGCCTGGGGTTACTCGTAGCGTACGCAGTGGTCCATCGCAAGGTGAAACAAAGTATGCAGAGAGTAAAGTCAAAGGAAATGAGCGGGTGGGTAAAGGCCGGTTGTGGGTAAAGGCCCGTTCACACTCTTGCAACCGAGTACGACCGAGAGAGACGAGATCTGTTAAAACTTCTTAAAAATTCTTAGGACGAGGGAACACACTGGCCTTCTGGCGCATCTGTGCGGTGACCCTGGCACTGCATTTCACAAGAGCGAAGGTTTTGCGGGATTTCCGAGGTCAAATGTGGGTAATACCTATAAGAAAGGCTCGTTTATGACGTTGACTAAAGTTTTTCGAGCCAAGAAACAAAGGATAATGGGCGAGAGAAATAGAAAATATGCCGGACCGCCAAGTTTACACTGCTACCCAATAGATGACGCCAGGCTGTCCTCTCGTTGTAAGAGGTTTTAAGGAACCCAGTTCTAAGAGGTCGCAAGAGTGTGAACGGGTCCTTTACCCACTTGAATGTAAAACGTATAACACAGAAAACAAGCATCAGAACAAAGACCAAGTAAAATGCAGTATAAAAAAAAGCAAGCGTCGGAGCAAAGCGCAGGAGGAGAAGAGAGAAGTGAGAGAGAGAGAGAAATTAGCATTTATTGAAAGGAAGACAGCGAGGTCAGCCAGCGCTTTGTGCCGGCTTGCTACGCTGTGAAAGAAGATGAAATTAAAAAAAAAGAAAAGGAAATAAAAAGAAATAGTATAGACAAAGATAGCAAAGATACGAAGAAAGAAGATAAAGAGATGAAAAGAAAAAAAATGCGCACGCACACAATACACACACACATACAAACTCACAAAACTGTTATGTTGGCAAGTGTTGGCTCACTTTGCAGCACACTGGACTGCAGTTCCTTAAAGTGTTTGTTGAAGATGTGTCTTCTTAATGAAATGTAAAAGAGCTTCAGTGGCCTTGTAACTGTCTGCAGTGGAAGGCCAGGGTCCAAACAGAAGCTTCAAGTCCACCTGGTCCTCTTCCTTTAATTTCAGGCGAGTCTTCAGTGCGGTCCTTTCAATACTGTAATCCCCGCAGGCACACAGGACGTGTTCGATGTTATGAATTGTTCTACACGATGAACAATCGGAAGATTCAGCTTTGCCAATTTTATGAAGATAATATTTAGTATATGCAACATTGAGCCGCAAACGATGTAACACCGTCTCAAGTTTCCTTGGTAGTCCTCGTGGTATCCGGAATTCGAGTTTAGGATCAATACGATGAAGGCTGTAATAGTGATATTGTGGATTTTCCCATAAAGATAGTGAGATTTCATTTCCGATAGATTTGATTAAATGATTGGCATCAGATCTTGAAAACGGAATAGATACAGAAATTGTGCTCTCGTGGGCGTCTTTAGCGGCTCTATCGGCGCACACGTTTCCAATTATCCCGGAGTGGCCCGGTATCCACTGCAAGATGAAGTGATGTCCTTGATTCGATGCATGCTGAATAGCCTGTAAAATATCATGGACTAGTTGTGAGTTAATGTTGTCTTTTCTTATCAAAGATAGAGCGTACAACGCAGATCTGGAGTCGACAAGTATTGCCCAACATCGTGGGCTTTCAGTGCCCGCGTGTACAACAGCTGCACGAATAGCTGCTAGTTCTGTCGCTGTTGATGAGGTGGCGTGGCTTAGTTTAGCCTTTATGTATGTGGCTGTGGATGGAATGTATACCCCCAGGGCTGAAGATGTGGGAATTGTAGAACCATCGGTGTAGATATGAGTAAATGACTCGTAAGTTCTTTGAATATATTCGAGAGATATCTGTGTAATTACCGGGGAAGGAGCTGAATTTTTTTTAGTGATTCCTGGTATGCTTGTTCTTATTTCCAAGTGAGGGTACTTCCAAGGTGGATATTGTGGAATCGCAGCTGCCTCAATTGAACTTGGCATATAGTCTTCTAGTACCATAATAACTTGCGCAAAGGCAGATGATGGTCTATATTTGACAATGTCCACCAGGTGGTGTTTATACACTCTGGTTTTGTGTCGTAGATGAGCTCGCAGTGTTTCTTGCGTCCTTAATATTGCGGGAGATTTCGCACGAGATTCCGCCAGAGTTCCAGAGGTGGAGGTACATTTTGGCAATCCAAAGCAGGCACGAAGTGCTTGAGCTTGCGCGCTTTCAAGTTCTTTAAAACAAGACCGCGAGACACGTTGCATGACTGGCAAACTGTAGCGCATAAGACCGACAAATAGAGCGTTATACAGAGCCATCAGCGCCGATACAGAGCATCCCCATCTGGTTCCACTGATCATTTTGATTATATGTGTAAACGAGGTGAGCTTTTTCTTTAACCGTTTAATATGGGGTCCCCACGTCATTTGCCTATCGAGAGTCACGCCCAAAAATGCATGTTCGGAGACATATGGGATTGGGATTCCTTCTAAGTTAATGGGGTATCTGTATGTTTGTTTCATTGTAAACGCCAACGCCGCAGACTTCTCTGGTGATATGTACAAGCCTCGGCTGCTAAGGTACCGTGCGGCAATGTTGAGGGCTTTTTGTAGCCTGGCTCTGTTTATATATAAAGACTTGCTCGATGACCAGAAACATATGTCGTCAGCGTATAAAGATACATGCACAGAAACAGGGAGTACCTTCAGAAGGCCTATAAGGCATATGCTGAACAGCATTGGACTGAGTACCCCACCTTGGGGAACCCCCTGTTTGACCTCATGGAAGTCAGTGTTGCCATCTTGTGTTGATATATAGACTTTTCGTTCTTTAAGATAGCTGGAAATCCATGTAAATAAGCGCCCTCCGAAACCAATCGCCTTCATGTCGGAAAGTATGGCCTCGTGTTCTACCGAGTCGAAGGCTGCTTTTATGTCAACGAATACTGCGGTGGTGACCTGCTTGACTGATTTCATTTGCTCTATACTAGACACTAGATCTATAACGTTGTCAATACTGCATCTGCCACGTCGGAAACCATTCATGGATGAAGGATAAATGCATCTATTTTCAAGATCCCACTCCATGCGTGCAAGCAGCATGCGTTCCATTATTTTGCTTATGCAGCTAGTTAATGCGATCGGGCGATATGAATTGATATCGAGTGGTGGTTTCCCTGGTTTGAGAATTGGTATTACGCGAGCGATTTTCCAATCTTGGGGTATAATGCCAGTCTCCCATGAGGTATTGAATAAAGTGAGTAGGGCCATTCTAGCAGTTTCCCCCAAGTGACGTAAGGCTGAGTAGCGTATGCCATCTGGACCTGGACAGGACTTAGTGTTGGATGTGGCAAGTGCTATGTCTAGTTCCTTCAAGTTGAAACGGTCGTCCATAGAATTACATGCACTTACAGCGACGTGACCATCTGGGGCACCCTTGCTGTGATTGTTACCGGATGGGCAGCTTGTAATCTTTATGCAGAACTCTTCTGCCACGACTGTTTCGGGTATTTGCCGTCTCAAAGAAATGGCTCTGAAGGGGTGAATTTGCTTTGGCCTTACGCTGAGGCTTCGCGTGATGTGCCATATTCGGGTAGTTGGCTTCCTGGGATCAAGGCCGGAACTCAGTGACCTCCAGCGTCTTCTTGAAAGTTTGTCTAAGTGCCGCTGTACACGTTTTTGTGCTCGTCTGGAAGCCTGAATATCTTCAACGTCTTGTGTTTTTCTTGCTTTTCGTTCAGCCCTTCGACGGATGGCACGAAGACGCTCATATTCTCCATCAACCGTTGTCTGCGGGTTTGTCACGTTGAAATATTTTGTTGCTTCTGAAGTGGAACATGTTATGGCATTCACAAAGGATTCTGTTCCAGTGAGCATAAAACTGACAGCTTCCATTTTTTCTTGAAATATTTTCCAGTCGGTAGAAGGTACCGAGAAGCGTTGTTTGGAACAACGCAGACCTCTCACTGTGGTGTATGTCGGTGCATGGTCACTTCCGTGAGTTTCAATGTCAGCGAACCATGTAGTTTCTTCAGCAAGACCTGAAGATGCAAACGAAATATCTAAAGGGCTGTTCACTGATGCACCTTTAAAGAATGTAGGACTTCCATCATTTAGTATTACGAGATCATGGTTTAGCGTAATTCCAAGTAATGCCCTTCCTCGAGCATTATTCTTCGCACTTCCCCACAGTGTGTGGTGAGCATTAAAATCTCCTGTCAGAAGACGTGGTGGCGGGGCTTGTTGGAGAATAGCTTCAAGTCTCTTAGTGTCAAATTCTGCTCGAGGAGGTATATAACCAGTTATAACACTGAATGAGATATCGCCTTTTTTTATAGTCACAGCAATATATTCATTTGTCCTATGGGACGAAATATTGTGCTCAATAAATGTGAGATCTTTTCGAATGCCGAGTAATACTCTGCTAAGACCGGTTTCTCTGTGGGAGTGAAGAAGCTCATAACCAGATAATCTGATGTTAGGTCCTACTCTTGATTCCGAAATTGCTACTACAGGAAATTTGTGTTTGAAGAGGAATTGCCGAAAATTTGACAGCCTATTTCGAAAACCTCTTGCGTTCCATTGAAGGACAGTGGCCTCACTTCGTAATTTATCTAGTGACACCAGAGCATCACGAATGGAAGGACAGCATCAATCAACGTAATAAGCGCTTTGGCTATAGGCGAATCCCAAGAGCAAAGAAGACTGCGGATGACATTGACAACTGTCTGAATCTTGGCCTCAGACATTGGTGGTTGCTGTCGTGTAGACTTCTCTTCGGGTCGTTTGGTTTCTCCTTCTGATTTATCCGTGGATTTTGAAACTTGTGTGGGAAGAGTTGGAAATTCATCTTCACTGTTCCACTTGATTGGGGGACTACTCGTGTTTTTCTTCGCGTATTTCTGCAGGTGTCTCAGGTTGGACTGCTTGGCTGATGAGGAGTCTTCGCTCGTTGGGAGTTCTTGAGCTGCAGATGGTTTCTTTTCCTTTGACGCAGTCGTTTTAGGGGTCTCTTCTGCCAGTTGTTCTTTCGATGCGAGCAGCGCCGCTTTCGCGGACGCATAGCCAACTTTAGCTTGGCTCTTGTACTTGTATATCTTTTGTTCTCTTTGGTATGCCGGACAAAGATGAGATGTCGAGTCATGAGCTTTGCCGCAGTTCGTGCAGAGGGGGTTGTCTGCATTGCAGCCGGTGCGTTCATGTGGTCCTCCACAGCGTGTGCAACGTGACTCTTTCGTGCACGCGGTTCGAATGTGTCCAAACCCATTGCATTTCGAGCATTGGCGAGGTTTCTCTACAAACGGTTCCATCCTGTATCTTGTATATCCAATCGTGATGTATTCCGGCAAAATGTCTGTGTTGAGGACAACCTTAACTACTTGGGACGTGCCTAGCCGACGAACGGAGATAACAGGCGCCGTAGCTCGTATAGCCACCTGAAGTTCCGTGTCGTTTATGTCTGACGGTACTCCGTATACAACTCCGATGGCCGATTCACGGGGAAAAGGCTCGTAGGCCTGGACAGGGATGCCTCCGATGGTGGTCAGTGCAAGCAAAGCTTTTGTCGCATCTCTGTTTCTCGTGTCTATAGCGAGTAGATTCAGCCTTCGGTTTGGCCTGACAAGGATAATTCCATCTGGGGCAGTCATCTCTAGCTTCTCGGTGATTTTCAGCGGATTGATTGTGGCGATTATTTTGGATGGATCTTTTGGCTTCAGTACCACTACAAGGTGGGGATGTTCTTGTTTCGTGTTTCTGACGGTCTTATTACTTGTCTCGGAGCTGCTGGAAGCTTTGCGTTTTTTGCGACTCTGGACCAGGTTATATGGGTCGGAATCGTCACCGGGATCGTCAGAGATGCTCTCGTAGTAGGAGATTGTGCTCGAAGCACTTGACGTACCCATAGGCAGATCTTCCATTTCGACTGAAGGTATGTCCTGGCCGGAGGAAGGGCCGGCCTCGGCCATGGCAGATGAGCGATCGACTCAATTCGAAGAAAATGTTGCCTTTGGCTGGCCAGGGAGGTGAGAACTTTGATTAAAAAGGAAAAATATAGAGACGAGCTCAGGATCAACAACGATAAGTTCGACCAAGAGAGAAGTGAATCTCGCTTTGTTTTAATGCCGAAGCAAACCCACATTTACCACTTCAGATGAGTGCACGCGAATGAGCGTGGAAGGCAGCAGTGTTGCGGAATGGGCACCCCCATTCCATTCCCATTCTATTCCGGGGAATAAGAGTTTTCGATAATTCAATTCCTTTCAATTCCTAGGAATGGAGACACCGTGCCCATTCCCACTCCTGGAATGGCTAAATCATTCCATTCCATTCCTCTAATTCCTAAACGTAAAAATTGGCACTTCACAGCTACATTGTGTTGCCGGCATAAGCAGCATAGAGCTGACATAATAAATGCAAAAACAATTTAAAAAAAAAGCTTAAAAAAAAACAACATTAATTTTACTAAGCAGGCCACAGGTGGCACAAAGTGTTTATTTACAATATACCAGTGTTGCGGAGTTGCCACTCCGGAGTTGGAATGATTCCGGAATCATTCCGCATTTTCGCGACCCCGGAATGGAATGGGAATTTCATTTCATTTTCATTTATTATTCCCTCAGGGCCCGAAGGCATTACAGAGGGGAGTGGGCGGTCGACACATAAAAGTAACATAGTTAAACGAGGCAAAAAATACAAAAAAAAAACACACACACACACACACAGAAAAAAAAAAAACAAAAAAAAAACACGCGCTACGCATCATTTGTTAAAAAGTTGGTAATAACATTTTTAAAATCAACAGTGTTAGTTATTGAGACTATATGTGCGGGAAGGCGATTCCAATCAATGGAGGTTTGGGGTAGAAAAGAAGCATTAAAAGTGGATGTGCTACAATGGGGAATCCCTACCTTTAGGTCATGGTCTACACGTGATGATATGTACGATGGTTCTAAAAACAATGCTTGACGGAGAGCGGGGTTAGACTTATAAATCTTGTGAAATAAACATAGACGAGATATTTTTCTTCGGAAAGAGAGATCAGGCAAGGAAAGGGACGATTTCATGGAAGTTACGCTGGCTGTACGATGATAGTTGGAGAGTATGAAACGGGCAGAACGATTCTGAATAGATTCGACAGCTGATGCAAGGGTGATACCAAGGCTCCAGATAGAAGCTGCATATTCTGGTTTAGGACGAGCTAAGGTTTTATAGAGGAGAAGTTTTAACGAAAGAGGAGCAAGCTAAAAGTTACGTTTGAGATAGCCCAAAAGCCTATTTGCGTTGTTAGTGACATATTGGACGTGGATATTCCAAGAGAGGTCGTTGGTTATGTGAATGCCGAGATATTTATAAAAGGACACAGAAACTAGAGTAGAATTGTTGATAGAGTAGGAAGGACAAGTGTTGTTATAATGAGATACTCTCAGAGATGTACATTTAATGATGTTAAGCTCCATGAGCGATTCCTTGCACCATTTGCAGATGTTGTTAATATCAGCCTGAAGGGCGGAAATGTCAGAGTCGTTAACTATATCTTTATAAATTACACAATCGTCAGCGAATAAACTAATAGAGGAAGAAACATGCACAGGAAGGTCATTGATATAAACAAGAAATAAGAGTGGTCCGAGTACGGAGCCCTGACGGACACCGGAGTTAACAGGTGAGGGCGAAGAATTAGTGTGATTAGTTCGAACAAATTGGAAGCGATTCGTTAGGAATGATTTTATCCATGTGAGGACATTGGGATCTATATTAAGGTTACTAAGTTTATGAAGAAGTAGCCGGTGAGAAACCTTGCCAAAAGCTTTTGAGAAATCCAGGAATATGCAGTCAGTCGTAGAACCCCGGTCTAGAGTGAGGTGAAGATGATGAGTTAATGTTAGCAGTTGTGTATCACAGGAATAAAACTTTCGAAAACCATGTTGAGCTGTGTTAAAAAAAGAGTTGGAGTCAAGAAAATTTACAAGATGTGAATATATTACGTGTTCAAGAATTTTGCAAGGGATGCTTGTTAGAGAGATCGGGCGGAAATTAATAGGATTATGTTTATCGCCGCCTTTATGAATTGGAATCACCTTCCCCACCTTTTAATCACTGGGTAATATTCCTTGTTCGAGAGACTGGGAAAAAGATAAGATAGAATAATGCTTGAATACGTTTTAGTGTTCTTTAGAAACTTAACAGTTACATTGTCGACGCCGGCTGCCGAAGAGCTCTTAAGATTTTCAATTATGTTAGCAATCCCTTTAGATTCTATAATGACAGGATACATTGGCAAAAAGTTACAAACTGGAGCTGCGGTAAAGTTGGAAATAACAGTGCACGAAAACGCTTTGACAAAAACATCATTTGAAACAAAAGAACACTGATCATATGGTACATCTACTCCGTCAGCCATTCTAAGCGCAACATCGGAGCTTTCAGTGGGGTTAACAACTTTCCAAAATTGACGGGGGTTGTTTATTAACATAGATGGTAACAGAATATTAAAAACATGAGCTTTTTGCCTCTACAACAGCATTTCTGTACACGCCCGCAGCTAGATGGTACGATGCCCAAGGCTGTATACGTCATCCTTCAGCTTAGCAGCACGAAACAAACGCTTCTTTTTATTTTAGAGCCTTTTTAGAGTCACGGTTTACCACGGCGATTCAGGTGACGACGTTATGTTGCGAAGAGGTACATGTGCCTTCATCAGTGATACCACCTCATCTTTGAATAAACGCCAGTTGTCTGCGACTGAGCGCCCGGCAAAACAGTGCATATATCGATCGAAAAAGAGACTCATTTCATTGTTAATCACATCAAAGTCCGCTCTAGCATAATCGTGTATTTGCTTTATTTGTTTTGATTTGTGGGAACTGGAAATGTTCAATATGAAATGCAGCAAGGAATGATCACTAATGCCCGGCATGTAAATCAATGAAGGAATAAGCTCGGGCGATGTTGTTAATATGAGGTCTAAAACAGAGGCAGTTGTAGTTGTAATACGCGTCGGTTTCGTAACAATTTGTGAAAAGCTAAAGTCCAAGCACAAGTTCAAAAACTCACTACTCTCTGAAGAAAAGTGTCTGAGGCTAGCACCCATATCTGACCATACTATGGCGGGGTAGTTAAAATCACCCAGCAGCATTATTGGCGTATTGGGAAAACGGATCATGACTCCGTTAATGGCGTCGTGTAGGCTTGTAACAAAAGTGGCACTTTTAGAAGGAGGACGATGGGTCCATATTACATGAGCGAATGACGTTTTAGCGAACAGCGACATTTGAGCGAATCGACGTTTTAGCGAATAACGGGGACGCGCGTTAACCCATCCGCCGCGCTGCGCTTTCGCCGCTTCGCGGCGACAGTCTGCGGCGGCTCATTACAAAAATGTGAACCCATTTGGCCCACCCGAAAACGCCGCTTCGCGGCGTCCGACTATTCGCTAAAGTGTCATTCGGTCAAACGTGGGCGTTCGCTAAAACGTCATTCGATCAAGTGAGTGCCTCCCGGAGGACGATAACAAACGCCTAAAATATATTTTTTTTTTGTTTTTAACTGAAGACAAACCCATACAAGCTCCAGTTCAGAAACAATACTGATTTGAAATGATAATACGTTTTCCGCCACCGCGACCAATACGCCACCGACATTTTTTTCGCCCCTGTCATGACGGTAAAAATTGAAACGTTTATGACAGTTTAAGGTTTCATCGTTACGTATTTGGCTTGACAACAATGGAATGGCGGTAACGATGAGGGGAATGAAATGGGAATGGAATTAGATGTCATTTGCCCGGAATGTAATGGGAATGGAATGGGCCCGGTTCTTTATTATTATTCTTTGTTATTTTTTTAAGGGGGGGGGGGGGGGGTTACGTTCAGCTAAACGGAGCCAGTCAGCGAGTCAGTTGCTCAAAGAAAAATGTACGGGAAACTGCTAGCAATACAAAAAACAAGCGTCAGAGCAAAGACCACAGGGGGGAGGGGGGGGGGGGGGGGGGGGTGGAGGGGGTGGCGGTGGCGCCTTTCACGGACGCGCAGACGGCGGGCTCTACTGGTGTTACACGAGAGCGAAAGAAGAAACCAAGCACCAAGCGAAGGAAGCGGCAAAGAAAGAAGCCGCCATGCGCGGCTCCTCATCGTGCTTCTTGTATTACTTTTTCTTTTTTTTTTTTTTTTTGCGACGGCACGGAGATTGAACGCGCGCGCACAGACTGGGATCTGGGAGCGGGGGGCGACTCATAACTCGCAGAGCTCTGATGACTCGTCGACTCGGACGCCGCCGCAGAAAGATGATCGGTTATTGTTTTCTTGTAGTTCGAGGAGCGTTGTTTAGCAGGCGGCCAACCTTGCTGCATTCCACGTTCATTCGCGCGCACTCCTTTGAAGTGCGAAAAAAGCCACATTCACTTCTCACTTCTCCTCTTGCGCTTTGCTCCAACGCTTGTTTTTTTATACTGCATTTTTTTGCGTGTAAGTTTACCTTTTATTTGGTGTTTGTTCCAATGCTTGTTTTTTGTGTTATAGTTTTTTTTTTTTTTACATTTAAGTGGGTTGGGGCTACAAGCAAGCTCGGGTTCTCGCTCATTTCCTTTGACATTAGTCTCTGCATACTTTGTTTCAGCTGCGATTTTTTTTTCTTCAATTGTCTATGAGTTTGACAATGTCAGCTTTATGCTGCTTATGCCGGAAATATTGCGAAATGTAGCTAGCTGTCAAGTCCCAATTTTTACGTTTAGGAAGTAGAGGAATGGAATGGGAAGGACTCAGCCATTCCAGGAGTGGGAATAGGCCCAGTGTCCCCATTCCTAGGAGTTGAAAGGAATTGAATTATCGAAAACTCTAATTCCCCGGAATGGAATTGGAATGAAATAGGGGTGCCCATTCCGCAACACTGTAATATACTGCAAACATTGAGAAAGCCCCTTGATACGTCGATGTTTATTTAAGACATCGGTCTCGCGACCACGTGGCTC